GAGGGAGAGGGAGGGAGGGAGAGACGGAAGGAGAGAAGGAGAGAGGGAGGGAGAGGGAGGGAGGGCAAAAGGGAGAGGGAGGGAGAGAGGGAGGGAGAGAAGGAGGGAGAAGAAAAAGGGGGGGGGGGGAGGGGGGGAGAGAGGGGGGGGGGGGAGGGAGGGGGAGGGAGAGGGAGACAGGGAAGGAGCCAGGAACAGGAGTCGGGGCACCCTGGGGAAATGGGGGATTTCTGTCCAGGAAAGATTGTATCCCTGCATTCATACTCATGTTTATTCTTATACCTATTATCTTCCAAGCAATTGTCAAATCAAATAAAAAATAAAAAAGAACTGGAGGGGAGGAGGAGAGGAAAAGGTCAACTGGGGCTATCCAGGAAAAAAAAGGCTCCTTGGTCTTGATGAGCTGGAGGCATAAGGAACCCTGGGGGAGAAGTGAGGAAGCCCCCACCAGCAGCTCTTTCTGCATGGGGGAGGGCTTGCAATCCTTCCTTCCTCTTTGGCTGCTCCCCTCCTGCCTGGGGAGGCTGCAGTGGGGGGAGGAAGAGAGAGCTGAGGGGAGGAGAGAAGAAACAGGCCCCCACCCCATACATATGGGGGTGTTGACTTTCTGCATTTTCCCCCTCTTTGAAGCACAAGGCATCCTACGGAATGCACAGGAGTCAGAGTGATCCAGGAGCCTCAGTGTCACCATTGTGCAGGCAAGAAAAGGAGTGCAAAGTGGAAAACGTGGGATTGGAGCCAGCCAAGCGCATCCATGAACACCAACTGGCTGTCAGAGGACATGATGAAAATTTCCTTAATTTCACAATATAGGGATAGACTCAACCATCGTTTCAACTGGGAAACTGTGAGCAAGCCAAATCCAGAAAACATTAGAGAATTCCTGGAGGCTTGGCACTTACTGTGGACAAATTGGCCATCAACAGGCACATAGAGATAAACAACATCTACATCCCACTGAAAAGAAACAGTCCAAACACCCAAAGGAAACAAAAAGTACCTTTTAACCAGCAATCTATATGAGCAGAAATGAACACCAAGATTAACACTAGACCAGCAATCAAGTAAACAGCATCCCAATCGAATAATTACCAATACAGGCAAAGAAGCTAACATTAAACAACAGCTTAATCAAGGAACTCCAAGAAAAGCCCCACCAACAGTGACCGGGCAAGTCACTAGGATCTAAAAAGAGAGCAAACCCCACTCACTTCT